ACCAGCAGTTAGCGTAATAGCTATGTCGCTGGACACCCATGTAGTCGACCACGGTTCACGTCCAGGACCCGGTGAGGCAAAACTCATGCCGGGCACGTGTGCGTGTGTGCCCAAGATCCCGAGAAGAGAATGGAGGAGAAGGGACTGTGGCGTGGCCATCCTCCCTGGGGGCTGATTTCTCTCACTTTCTGTCTGTCTCTCTTTGTCTATCTGACGAGCGCACGCGCTCTATAGCAAAAACCTCTCCAAAAAAAAAAAAAAACACAATGGATGCATGTGCACGTATACCCCAAAATCCCTACATGATAGAGAAATGGAGTAGGGATTGAAACGTGATTACGCCCCACTGTGGGGGATGTTTGCTCCCTCTCCTTCTCTCAATAAATAAAAAAAAGAAATCCAGGGCCAGCCTGTGGTCTAATTCTTAAGGCAGCTAGATCCCACATGGCCAACCAGACCTGGAGGTTTGAGAAACATGACAGGCCAGTGTGTGTTTGCGCCCAAAATTGCAAAAGGAGGAAGAGGAGAAGGGATAGTAACATGACCATCCCACAGAGAATGTTTTCTTACGCACTCTCCCAAACACAACTCTGTCTCTGGCAAATGCAAAAAAAAAAAAAACAAAAAACAAAAAAAAAGACTAAACAATAAAAACCCCAGGGGCCAACAGGTGGCATGGTGGTGAAGGTACTTAACTTGGCCAACTGTGGTTCGAGTCCTGGATCTGGCAGGTTAAAAATCACACTGGGCTTGTATGTGTGTGAGCATGCCCAAAATCCCAGGAAGAGATGAGATTGGAGTGTGGCCAACCCCCCAGGGGAATGACTTCTCACTATTTCCCCCTCTCCTCCAACCGCAAACACCTTAGGTCCAAAAAAAAAAAAAAAAAAAAAGAAGAAGAAAAAAAAAAGAAAAAGCAAGCAAGCAAACCATAAATATTCTTAAGTGGACATATTTTATAAATATTTAAATATGAGAGTACCAGGGAGAATTTCTATATACTCTTTTATAAAATTAAATATCCTCATTGGCATTAATTGAGTGAAGACTACAGATATTATTGCATCTTACTTTGCATTTATTAGCTCCATGTGAAGGAAATCCATTTGAACAGTCTTCTGGAATGTAAAAATTAGGGGCATGGTATCTATCTATTTGTCAAAATTAGTGTACTTTGGGACCAGCAGTTAGCGTAATGACTATGTCGCTGGACTCCCATGTAGTTGACCACGGTTCAAGTCATGGACCGACGGACCCAGTGGCTTAAACTCACACCGGGCACATGTGCGTGCATGCCCAAATCCCTAGAGGAGAATGGAGGAGAAGGGATTGCGGCATGACCATCCCCCCAGGGGGTGATTTCTGCCTTTCTGTCTCTCTGTCTCTCTCTGTCTGTCTGGCGAGCGCACGCGCCCTATAGCTAAAACCTCTCAAAAAAAAAAAAAAGTGTACTTTCATTGATGTAATGATAGTACACTATTTCAAATATATAATGATTGTAAGTAATTACCATTAATATCATTAAAAGGTAGTGAAATCAAATCCTAGATTAATTGTATGGTGTTAACCAGGCAACCAAACTCACGTGAGAAATTATCTGAAGAGAAAGAAAAAAAAAAAATTCCATGTAGTACTGTCAGGCAGGAATGGATTCTGGTTCAGATTATATTAAACTAATTCACAAATTAAGAACTGGTATCGCATGTCAGCATGTGGCACAGTGGTTAAGGTGCTGGATTCCCACATGGCTGACCACAGTCTGAGTCCCCGACCCAGAGGCTTGAAACTCAAGCCGATCACATGTGCGTGCCTGCCCAAAATTCTGAATGGACAGTGGAGGAGAAGGGACAGCGGTGTGGCCCTCCCCTGAGGGGTGGTTTCTCACTTTCTCTCTTTATGTCTCCAGCAAACACACACATCCTATAGCAAAAAATTCTCCTTAAGGAAAAAAAAAAAAATCTTAAAAAAAAGAGTTGGTATCTCAACCACTCGCTAAAGACATGAAATCTTTATTGGCCACTTTAACAAGAAAATAACACCTTATAATCAAAAAGTAAGTTAAGCATTAATTTTGTATTTCTGAGGATGGGTAGAGTGATAGAACATAAGGATTAAATTCTGGGACAGGAAAAGCGATTTTTACAATGTCTATTTTAAATGGTAGATAAACTGAAATCTGAAGAATAGGTTTTAAAAAACTTTAAATGCAAGGTATATGTAGAGAGAATACACAAACACATACATACATACACAGGAACTTCGAACAACTTAAGGGAAAATATAATTAAGGTACATGTTTATTAAGGTACAAAAAAATTTGAAATCCATGCAAACCTTTTAATTAATACATAATTTCCATAAACTTTTTGAAAAACCTCGGCGTATGTTCAAAAAGTTCATGGAAATTTTATGTAATAAAAAACTATGCATGAATGTCAATTCTTTTTAAAAAAAATTTGCTACAAGGCATACACACTCACCAGAGAGAAATGGAGAGGGAGAAAGCACTACCCCTCCCCCCCAATAAGTGTGGGTTTGCCACAACCCCTCTTCCTCCATTTCCCAATCCTGTCAGGGTTCACGGCATGCATGCACATGTGCCTGGCATGTTTTTCAGGTTACCATGGCCAGAATTCAAACCATACAATTAGCTATGTAGGATCTGGCTCCCCTAGCCACGGGGTGGGGGGGGGGGTGATGGGGGAACATAAGGACAATGACACTGTCCTTCCTTCCTTCCTTCCTTCCTTAAAAGAGATTTTTGCTATAGGGAGTATGCACTTGCCTCAGAGATAGAAAAAGATGGAAAGTGAGAATCACCCCTCTTCTCCTCCATTCTCCTCGCAGGATTTTTCGGATCGTGTAAACATGCCCAGTGTTGAGTTTCAAGCCTCTGGATCAGGGACTCAAACCACGGTTGGCCACGTGGGATCCCAGCAATGTAACCATCACGTCACCTGCTGGCCCCATAAACTTGTACTTTAATTCTAATCTTGCATAAAGTTTTAAGTCTCTGCCTATATATTTTCATCTTAACATCAATATGTAAGGTGAATTTAATTATTCCATTTCTACAAATACAGAAAGAATGAGAAGAGTCAGGAATTTTATCCAAGGTCAATAAGCCATAAAAAACTTTTCTGATTAAAGGAGATTTTAAATATCATCACCTTTATGAAAAGAGATTTGCATCCATAGAATTATTTAAGATATCACTGTACTGATACTAAAATGAAATCACATTCTGTAATTTGGGACGCAATCTGATTACATTTTCCCTTCAAATAAATTACCTAACGAACATTTACCAAATTACTACAAAAACACTTTTCAGTTTAAGAATTGCTGTTCTAGGGACCAGCAGATAATGTAAGAAGTTACGTTGCTAGACTCCTACATAGTTGACCAAGTCCTGGACGCGGTGGCTTAAAATTCACACTGGCTGGGCCAGCAGGTGGCACGGTGGTTAAAGCCCCTGGATTAGCACATAGTCAACCATGGTTCAAGTTCCAGACCTGGCAGCTTGCTTTCTTACTTTCCCCTTTCTCTCTCAGGTCAAATTTAAAAAAAAAAAGAAAGGAAGGAAGGAAGGAAGGAAGGAATCAAATAAATAATTCTTATAAAAAAAAAAACCTCATGCAGGATACATGCCCAAGATCTCAAGAGGAGAATGGAAGAGGAGCAATTACGGCGTGGCCATCCTCCCTAGGAGGAAATTTCTCACTTTTGTCTCTCTGGCAAGAATGAGGAACCTACAGCAAAAATCTCTCTTAAAAAAAAAAAAAGTGGTGCTGCTCTAAGCTTGAGGAAAACTATTAACTTCCAGGTATCCCTTATTTTCCACACTACTTACACGTACACTGGGTGGGACCTGTTCCTCAACTGCACTTACCTTTGGACCACTGTGTGATCTAACTTCTTCTCAATCTACTTGTTTTGGTGTTTTAGGGTGTACATCTCTCACTTTCATACCATCAGTACTATTCTTTATAAACTCATGAAAGATAGAAACAACACTTGCATAATTTTTTACTTTAAAAATCTAGAACAATTAGGCATTCCTAAGTAGTTTTTTAAAAAGCTTTAATAATTCCTTATTAGTGAGTTCTAGTTAGAACCTACAATAAAGACATTTTTTAACTGTCTCCTTCCCCAATCCTTGTCACTTTTAGAATCAAGATAGTCTGCAATGGATATATTTAGAACAAAATGGCCATTATAAATAGTCATAAATTCACAAAAACTTAACAAGCTTTTTTCTAGAACTTCTAATCCTCTTAAAATACAATTCCTCTGTCCTGAAAGGATGCACTGTTTTCATGAAAAACCCAGAAAGACCTAAAGCAACAGCAAAGACAGCACACAAAACTCCATAAAAGAAATTGGAGAAATATCAAATTTCCATACATAGGGAAATATTTAAACAAATACTATTTTTCCCAACAATGTTTACATAAACTCACAAATCAGAAATTCAAATATCTTGCAGAGAGTATCCTTTTATAATTTAGATATATAAGATGTGCCCTGTTGGTGGACACGAACAGATTTCTACTGAAACCTATGTAAACAAGTTGGTCAATGACTGAGTCGCACAGATACAGCACCATTAAGTAGCTGCTTCTGAACTCCACAGTGGCAAATCACTTATAGGGGAGTAGTTTAGAAGTCCAAATTGAAGTTGAAACCTTCATCCTTTCCTGATGAAAGACTTTGGTAAAACTTAAAAAAAAATTTTAAAAATTAAAAAAACAAAAATTTAAATGTGTAATTAGCTACCATACAGGGCTTAACATAACTACTTTGTACCCTGAAACCCAACCTCATGTACCGTCCAGTTTATAGTTGATAAACAGTTCTGTCACCTAAATTTTCAAATTCTTTTATAAAGTGCCAACATAAATTCCAACATTTCTCAATGATCTAATATTTAATAACAACAACAAAAACAAAAAAGACAAAATTGCAACATTATATCTTGAAGAAACCCAAAAACCTACCTTTAAACTAGACTCATAGTCTGTGTTCACTTTGAACATAAGCCCAAGTCGTAAATGAATTTCCTTGGCTCGACAAAAGCTGGGATCAACATAAAGCACCTCCTGAAATGCTTTAATTGCCCTGAAAGAATATAGACATAAGATATCTTAACTTTTTAACACGTGCATGAATTTTTGCTCGGTAGTACAGTAAAACTTCTGTTTTATGCAATACTATTTTAAAGGAAATGGCAGTTTTATAAAAAATAATGTGAATAGTTTAAAAAACTGAAAAGGGATACTTGGGCCTTTTATAATTGAATGTCTATCATCTGACTGAATATAAAGGAGGTAAAGGAAGATTAGTTGAATTTACTCTAAATTACTCAAACAAATTTTCATTGTTTAATAAAATTCTCATCACATTTAACTGATTTCAGTGCTTCTGCAATTTCCTGGGAGAGAAAGGGGTGGGACAGATAGGAAGGTTTGGTTATTTAAGGAGGAATTAGTCCTATTTCTAGTCTACTCCATAAAAACAAATTTTCTTTTAAAATCTTATCTTTCATATTAAAGCTTACAATGCAGCTGTGCCTTATCTTTTATACTGTGTAAGACAGGGGTCTGTTTTCATATTTCCTATGCTGACATCCAACAGTGCCTGCACCATTTTACAGAAATGACTATTCTTTTACCAAAGCTCTACAGTGCTAATTTGTCCTAAATCAATAGCCATATTCATGCTTCTGGGTTCTCTCCTCTATTTTACTCTCCTTGGTCAATTTTTGCCGAACTTACACTGTATCTTTTATAAAAGGTTTTGATTACCAGTAGAATAAATTCATGAGTGAGGAAAGGAGCATTTTTTCACTGAATACATTTTGACATTACTTAACGTGATCATGTAAATGTATTATCTACTCAAAATTGAATATTAAAGTAATGACTAAGAAAAATGTCTACTTTGAATCTTAAAAGTTATATTATCAAATATAATAGTATATCAGTTATCATTTTAAATTCTACATAATTTAAAGCTTCCCCAAGCACAAGCTAATATATTCTTTGCAAAGCTTTTTTATTAATCAACTATACCTACTTCTATAGCTCTTAAAAGTGGCTACTCAGAATTTCAGATGCTTCCAAAAAGAAAAAAACAAGCTTTCATATAAAAAAGCTCAAAATATCACACCAAAAAAGAGAATAATATTTCATATGTCTTTAGTAACTATTTTGATGGATCATGCATAATCTACTTTCCAAGAAAGGTGTGCGTGGTTGTGTTCAAGGTTTATTGTTAAATTAAGAGTGCTAAATGGTAGTGCTTATTTCAGTGGTTGGGGGTGGGGATATAGAACACAGATCTAGCATCAGATACTTTTACACCTGGTTATGACAATATTTAACTCTATTCCTAAAGAAAGAGCGAGGCATCCATCTGTTAGGTGACATTTTAAGAGGGCTGGGTGTATATTTGAGGCAGATGAAGGGAGTCAAAGGATTGATTGGAAAGAACTGGGAATAAGTTACCATTCTCATTCAAAGGCAGCTTTCTATTTCAATCAATGCACAGATAGAGAGTGGGAGAGACAACACATACATGTTTGGGAGAGGCATCAAAAAGGTTAGTAAGAGAATAACTATAGCAATCAATGGTCCCAATTAATATGTATAATGTGACTAGGAAAGGTTATGCAAGGGCTTCTAGAAATTTTTAGGGTGATAACAATGTTCCATTTCTTCACCCAGGTGATGGTTCTATGAATATCTACTTTATAATAACATGAGAACATATATACTTTTATTTATGCATTTTCTTTAGATAAATTATTTTGTAATAATAAAAATTATGGCTAATGGTTCATAAAGTCCTAATTATCCTTACCTTATGGTATGGATCAGAAAACTCTAATGGAATGGGTCAGAACAGAGCAATGTCCACACATACCAATAAAAGACTCAAGCAGAGCTGAGTTGAAATATTAAAAAAAAAAAAAAAAAAAGAGAGAGAACAGAAGTAGAAGGCAGCAAAGGAAAGAAGAAATAAAGAAAAAGAAGGAAGTTAGGAAAGGAAAAAAGTATAACAGAGTATGTGAGGGAGGAAGAAGGAACACAACGCATCAATAACAACCCCTTGGGGAGAAATACTTCCTACTCTGCCTATTTCTATATCCAACTTTTTCTCTACATGTAGTATTTGTGGAAGTGTCCACTCCATAGGAACCTTTTAGCACAAACATCCTTTCTACTAAATTCGCAATGTCACTCAGGTTAAAAAAAAGGGGGGGGGGGGGAGTTTACCATGTTCTCTATGTATGTTAACACACATAGGGGAGAGGGTTGACTATTAACTCATAAGCAAAAACACATGCTCCAAAGACTTTAGGCTGGGTCTATGTTTATTCTTTAAGGACTATTAAAACTGCCAAGGACAGGACCAGCAGATGATGGAATGGCTATGTCGCTGGATTCCCATGTAGTCGACCATGGTTTGAGTGCCAGACTGGGTGGATTAAACTCACACCAGGCACGTGTATATGCATGCCTAAGATCCTGAGAGGAGAATGCAGGAGAAGGGATTACAGCGTGGCCATCCCTCCTGGGAGGTGATTTCTTGCTTTCTGTCTCTCTTTTTCTTTCTGGCAAGCACATGCACCCTATAGCAAAAACCACTCCCCCCCACCAAAAATAATAATAATAATAATATAAATAAATAAAAATAAATAAATAACTGCCAAGGACAAAGTTTGGTTAATACATAAGGAAGTCTTTAAAAAACTCATGGAAATATGCATTATTTAAAAATTATGTATCGATTTCAAAATTTTTGCACTAAAATAAATTCATACAATTCATTTTTCCACAAACTCTTTCAAGTACCCTCGTATACCTAATCCTCAAGTTCTCCAAGTTGTTTCAAGATTTATCATAAATTCTATACCTTACAGGCACTATCTTCAAATCTCACTACTAGATTGCTGAAATAGACTCCTTAAAGACTGTCCTCCCTCTATTCTGGCTTGTGTATTTATTTCCTTGAGCATGTGATTTCTGGGACTGCCTAGTAATCATGATACTATAAATCAAATCACTGCAATGCATTTAAAATATCAACTCCATTCCCAGTTATGCTCTAACATCGTTCTTCCTTGGCTGTGAACTGGTTTATCACTGGTTTTTCATGCCTTCTTCGCTTCAATGCTTTTCCAAACTATATTTTCCTAATCTGGAATATTTTCATTCTTTTGCTTCCCTCTAAATCTACTATTATTTTTAAGACTCACCATCCAAACTCAATATTAACTATTTTTCACTTATTGCTAACCAGAGGTGAAGTTCATTCCATTATCAAATTATTTTATTCTCTACTTATTCATGCACTGTCTGCAGTTTTTCCTAGTCTATTCTTTTAGGACTATATTCCTCTTTTATTTTCAATATTCTAAATAATATTTAAGTCTAACAGATTTGGGGGTCAGTAGGTTGCATAGTGGTTAAGGCGCTGGAATACCAGGTGGCCAACCACTGTTCAAGTTCTGGATCTGAAGATTAAAACTCACGCCGGGTTACGGTGCCCACAAGCCCCAAATCCCAGAAGTAGAATGGAGGAGAAGGGTTTGCTGCAGCTGGCTACTCCCCTGGGGGTGATTTCTCTCTTTCTTTCTCTCTCTCTCTCTCCCTCTCCCTCTCTCTCTCTCTCTCTCTCTCTCTCTCTCTCTCTCTCTCTCTCTCTCTCTTCAGAGAGTGCATACACCCTATGCCAAAAATTTTTTAAAAAGTTTAATAGATTTTAATGATGCTACCATTCTCATGGTATACTGAAACTTCTTGTTAGGGGAGGCACTTTATAGTCTTTGCTGATCATGATCAGTTCAGTTCATCTTATACAAAATACATTACTCAAATCATCTAAGTTCTCTTTCTCTAAACTTTCACCCATCTTTTTCTCCTGTGTGCTTCTTCAATTTCTCTCCAGGGTGGGAGTAGGGGTGGGAGTAATCCCGGTTTACCAAAATGCACGCAGTTAAAACATGATATCTGCAGCAAAAACTAAACTAAGTCATTGACACGTATAATTTCTGCTGACCTCAGAATTCGACAGAAGGCTCTTTTTGTGCAGATAGCAGGCCCGCAAGCATGGTGAACGTCCCTAAAACCCACCAGACCTTCTGTAAGAAGTGTGGCAAGCACCAACCTCATAAAGTGACACAGTACAAAAAGGGCAAGGATTCTCTGTATGCTCAGGGAACGCGACGTTATGACAGGAAGCAGAGTGGCTATGGTGGACAGACTAAGCCTATTTTCCAGAAAAAGGCAAAAACTACAAAGAAGATTGTGCTGAGGCTTGAATGTGTTGAGCCCAACTGCAGATCTAAGAGAATGCTGGCTATCAAGAGATGTAAGCATTTTGAACTGGGAGGAGATAAAAAGAGAAAGGGTGAAGTGATCCAGTTCTAAGCCTCATCTTTTCTATTATGAAGATGGCAAAATCCTGAGGTGAATGTTCACCTCATTTGATTACAGTTGGTCTGTTTGTAAGGGAATAAAGTAATCAATAAAATTCCCCTTTCGGGGAAATTTGATTTCATGGTACTACTTGTTTTGGATTAAATCTGGCTGGCTGAGCTCAAAAAAAAAAAGAATTCTGACAGAAGTTTGAAACATGAGAAATGGCTACCAAAACTATTAAATACTTTTTATGGTAAAATGCCTGGGAAGCTTCATAGTTAAAACATATTCTCTAGTGAAACAAAAAAAAGTGCATATTAGTATGCATATCATTGATATTTTCACCTAAAATCTGAAAAACATGGCTTTTTATATCACCAAAATTACTATAGATTTTTTTAGTTTAAACACTTTTTTCATTTAATGCTGGTCGTTGTTAAAAGATTTAAAAACAGAAAACAGGGCCATCTTCATGGCACAATGGTAATGTACTGCTGAAGAGAAGCCAGATCTCACATAGTGACTACAGTTCAAATCCCTGGTCCAGTCCACTTGTAACATGCTGGGCACATGCACAACTGCCCAAGATCTGATCGGCTGGAAGACTGAAGGAAGGGGATTACAGTGCGACCAAACTCACTCACTCGTTCTCCTGTATGCGCACATGCATTTTATCATAAATAATTTTTTAAT